GCTGTCTTCAACCAGGATCTCAACGATCACTGCCTCATTGCCTGCGTCCGTAATGGGTCCGCGGTCAAATGACCACCCCTCATCACTGTCAAACGCTCCCTAAAACATTTCAGCGAGCATGCCTTTCTAATTGACCTGGCTCGGGTATCCTGGATGGATATTGACCTCATTCTGTCAGTAGAGGATGCCTGGTTGTTCTTTAAAAGTGCTTTTCTCTCCATCTTAAATAAGCATGCCCCGTTCAAAAAAATCAGAACTAAGAACAGATATAGCCCCTGGTTCACCCCAGACTTGACTGCCCTTGACCAGCACAAAACATCCTGTGGCGTACTGCATTAGCATCGAACAGCCCCCGTGATATGCAACTTTTCAGGGAAGTCAGGAACAAATATACACAATCAGTTAGGAAAGCAAAGGCTAGCTTTTTCAAACAGAAATTTGCATCCTGTAGCACTAACTCCAAAAAGTTTTGGGACACTGTAAAGTCCATGGAGAATAAGAGCACCTCCTCCCAGCTGCCCACTGCACTGAGGCTAGGAAACACTGTCACCACCGATACATCTACGATAATCGAGAATTTCAATAAGCATTTTGCTACGGCTGGCCATGCTTTCCACCTGGTCACCAGCTCTGCACCCTCCGCTGCAACTTGCCCATGCCCCCCCCCCGCTTCTCCTTCACCCAAATTCAGATAGCTGATGTTCTGAAAGAGCTGCAAAATCTGGACCCCTACAAATCAGCTGGGCTACACAATCTGGACCTTTTCTTTCCAAAATTAGCCGCCGAAATTGTAGCAACCCCTGTTACTAGCCTGTTCAACCTCTCTTTCGTATCATCTGAGATCCCCAGAGATTGGAAAGCTGCCGCAGTTATCCACCGCAGACACTCTAGATCCAAACTGTTACAGACCTATATCCATCCTGCCCTGCCTTTCGAAAGTATTTGAAAGCCAAGTTAACAAACAGATCACCGACCATTTCGAATCCCACCGTACCTTCTCCGCTATGCAATCTGGTGTCCGAGCTGGTCATGAGTGCACCTCAGCCAAGCTCAAGGTCCTAAACGTTATTATAACCGCGATCGATAAAAGACCGTACTGTGCAGCCGTCTTCATCGACCTGACCAAGGCTTTCGACTCTGTCAATCACCGCATTCTTATTGGCAGACTAAATAGCCTTGGTTTCTCAAATGACTGCCTCGCCTGGTTCACCAACTACTTCTCAGATAGAGTTCAATGTGTCAAATCGGAAGGCCTGTTGTCTGGACCTCAATTCTCGGGCCGATTCTCTGTGTATATCAATGTGGTCCTCTGTAGCTCAGCTGGTAGAGCACGGCGCCTGTAACGCCAAGGTAGTGGGTTCGATCCCCGGGACCACACGTACACAAAAAAAAATTATGCACGCATGACTGTAAGTCGCTTTGGATAAAAGCGTCTGCTAAATGGCATATTATATATTATATAATATTATTATTATATATTATATTATATATATATATATGTCGCTCTTGCTGCTGGTGACTCTCAGATCCACCTCTACACAGACGACACCATTTTGTATACATCTGGCCCTTCATTGGACACTGTGTTAACAAACCTCCAAATGACCTTCAATGCCATACAACACTCCTTACCGTAGCCTCCAACTGCTCTTAAACTAAATGCATGCTCTTCAATCGAACGCTGCTTGCACCCGCCCGCCCGACTAGAATCACTACTCTTGGCGGTTCTGACTTAGAATATGTGGACAACTACAAATACCTAGATGTCTGGTTAGACCGTAAACTCTCTTTCCAGACTCACATTAAGCATCTCCAATCCAAGGTTAAATCTAGAATCGGCTTCCTATTTTGCAACAAAGCCTCCTTCACTCATGCTGCCAAACATGCCCTCGTAAAACTGACTATCCTACCGATCCTTGACTTCGGCGATTTTACAAAATAGCCTCCAACACTCTACTCAGAAAATTGGATGTAGTCTATCACAGTGCCATCCGTTTTGTCACCAAAGCCCCATATACTACCCACCATTGTGACCTGTACGCTCTCGTTGGCTGGCTCTCACTACATATTCGTCGCCAATCCCACTGGCTCCAGGTCATCTATAAATCTCTGCTAGGCAAATCCCTGCCTTATCTTAGCTCATTGGTCACCATAGCACAGTGCTTCTCAATTATTTTCTGTTACGCCCCCCCCTAGGAAGAAGTAAACATTTCGCGCCCCCCAACTCTCCGCCGCGACTGTAAATAGTATAATTTGTCTATAAAATTGTTACATGTACACCTCTGCATAACATTGTATCCTTATTAACATTAAAGAAAATAAAAAAGAAAGAAATATAGATCAACTTACAACAAAGAATAACTTTATTAACATTGTAACAGAAAATACTTAAAGTGCATCAATTTGCCTGAAATTTTAAAAAAAATGCAACCCTTATATAAACTGTAAACATTTTTTGACCATTTGATACTGAAAAATTAAATTAAATATAATCAATAAATAATAATACATTCAAATTGATCAGCAACATTAACTCAGGAGCACAATATATGAAACACTTTGACCTATAAAACAAAAATGAATAAAACAATTTGTGCAGATTTTTTATTTATTTTTTTTTATAAAAATGAGGAAGTCAGGATTAATGGCTACAATGAGCACGTTTTGCAGTGCACAGCTTTTCGAAGCGGGGTTTGAAGCATGATACTGCAACTCTGTGTCATTGGCGACGGTGTCATTGGACAGAGGGATAGTTTTTATTTTTGCAGCACTTGCATCATCCAGCATGACAGAGACCATGTCTAATGCTGCAGGCAGTATCAGCTCCTCTGCTATGGAGTGGGGTTTTCTGCACTGAGCAATTTGGTACGCCACCTTATATGATGCTAACAGTGCTCGCTGGTTTACTGAAGTAGCATTCACAAAGCGGGACGATTGTTGGCAATATTCGGCACGTTTTCGCTGAAAAAACTCAAGCGGCTTATCAGCGTGATTGGGGTGTAATGTCTTTAAGTGACGCCTTAATTTATTTGGCTTCATGCTGTCCGCTGCCAACATTTTTAGACACAGTGAACATACCGGTCTTTCCTCGTCTCCCACCATAGTCACAGTGAAGCCAAGCGCTACATACGCTTCGTCATATTTCCTCGTCTTCGCTTTCGGGAGACTTTGTCTCATTATCTCCGTCTCTCTCCGCCTTTCTTTTCATCCCTGTTAGATATGTTTCCATGGTGTTTCTTAAGGGTTTGTTATCTGCACTTCATATCTCCTGCTCTGAGCTCTTGTTCGGTGAAAAAAAAAAAACTACTCCCTGCGGCTAAAAAAAAGCATGTTCCCCGGGGTCACACGCGCCCCCCCTGGCATCGCTCCGAGCCCCCCCAGGGGGGCGCGCCCCACTATTTGAGAAGGACTGCCATAGCAACACCCACCCATAGTATGCGTTCCAGCAGGTATATCTCACTTGTCATCCCCAAAGCCAACACCTCCTTTGGCCGCCATTCCTTCCAGTTCTCTGCTGCTAATGACTGGAACGAACTGCAAAAATCTCTGAAGCTGGAGACTCTTATCTCCCTCTCTAACTTTAAGCATCAGCTGTCAGAGCATCTTACCAATCACTGCACCTGTACACAGCCCATTCTGTAATTAGCCCACCCAACTACCTCATCCCCATATTGTTATTTATTTTGCTCATTTGCACCGCAGTATCTCTATTTGCACATCATCTTCTGCACATCTATCACTCAAGTGTTAATACTAAATTGTAATTATTTTGCACTATGGCCTATTTACTGCCTTACCTCCATAACTTACTACATTTGCACAGACTGTATATACATTTTCTATTGTGTTATTGACTGTATGTTTTGTTTTATCCCATGTGTAACTCTGTTGTTGTTGTTTTTATTGCACTGATTTGCTTTATCTGGGCCAGGTCGCAGTTGTAAATGAGAACTTGTTCTCAACTGGACTACCTGGTTAAATAAAGATGAAATAAAATAAATAAATAAATAGAGTTGATCAGGCTGTTGATTGTGGCCTGTGGAATTTTGTCCCACTCCTCTTTAATGGCTGTGCGAAGTTGGTGGATATTGGCGGGAACTGTAACACGCGGTTGTAGACGTCGATCCAGAGCATCCCAAACATGCTCAATGGGTGACATGTCTGGTGAATATGCAGGCCATGGAAGAACTGGGACATTTCCAGCTTCCAGGAATTGTGTACAGATCCTTGTGACATGGGACCGTGCATTATTACGCTGAAACATGAGGTGATGGATAAATGGCACGACAATGGGCCTCAGGATCCCGTCATGGTATCTCTGTGCATTCAAATTGCCATCGATAAAATGCAATTGTGTTTGTTGTCAGTAGCTTATGCCTGCCCATACCATAACCCACCATGGAGCACTCTGTTCACAACGTTGACCGCTCGCCCCCATACAACGCCATACAAGTGGTCTGCGATTGTGAGGCCGGTTGGACGTACTGCCAAAATTATCTAAAACAACGTTGGAGCCGGCTTATAGTACAGAAATGAACATTCAATTCTCTGGCAACAGCTCAGGTGGACATTCCGTCAGTCAGCATGCCAATTGCACGCTCCCTCAAAACATTAGACATCTGTGGCATTGTGTTGTGACAAAAATGTACATTTTAGTGTGGTCTTTTATTGTCCACAGCACAAGGTACACCTGTGTAATGATCATGCTGTTTAATCAGCTTCTTGATATGCCACACTTGTCAGTTGGATGGATTGTCTTTGCAAAGGAGAAATGCTCACTAACAGGGATGTAAACAAATTTCGGCACAAAATTTGAGAGAAATAAGCTTTGTGCGTATGGAACATTTCTGGGCTCTTATTTCAACTCATGAAACATGGGACCGACACTTTACATGTTGCGTTTATATTTTTGTTCAGTGTAGCTAACCACTTTAATCTGTCAGTTTATAGTGCAAAGAGGCAAATTGGCTTGTCGATGTGTGTGCCCAGGCACTAGCAATTCTTGGTCAACCACATCGTGTGGGGTCCAATGGAATCTCATCCCCTCAAATGCTGCTTATTCAAAATCGTTGTTGACTATTTTCTAGGGCTTTCCTTGCACTATGGCTCGACCACTGGGAGAAAGCCATAAAAGGTTCATGCAAACCATGATGGTCAATGGGATCATTGATGGTGCCAAGGCAAGGGCTCTCCATCAGCATTGCTGTGAGACACACGGTGGTAAGAACAGCATAGCTGCATACTTCAAACTACTGTTTAATCTTTGTCAGCAAAGTGTCTGTATGGTAAAACCTTAAACTCAAAGGTCTGGTTTTCCAGACACAATAGAGATTCTTTATTGAAAGTGCCTTTCAGTCCAGCACTAGGCTTACTCTACGTCTGAAAAACTGGCCCAAAATGTATTTGTTGAGGGCCACCCGCTCACATTTACTTCTTTTAATACAGCACACTATGCTCATGATAAACTGGATGAATTCGAGGTGATCAATGCCCAGCTGCAGCCTATGTTCATGCAGATCTGAAAAGGGATGTCTGAGGAGGATGGTCTTCAGTTCCATGCTTTGGTCAGTGACACTAATCAAGTTCATTCACAAAGCTCTTTTAGGACTACTGGAACCATCATGAACTGCTCTTATTTTTCCTGTTGACATCTACTCCTGTCCAGGTGAACATGGCTGAAACTGATGTGACCAGGATGTCAACTGATTATGCAGACAACGAGTTGGAATTATTCAGAAAAACTGTGAGTATGCTGTTTTCACTAAATGGTAAATGACTGACAATAAGACTTAAGAATTAAATAACATTTGAAAATCTCAGTAATAACTGGCATATTCTTTTAGATGGTTGTGGACTCTGACAATGGAACCGCCTCTTCCACGGACATTCTCAACTGTGCCGACAGCCTCCAGACGAAGAAGCTAAAGAAAAGAGAAACAGAAGATGTACTTAACAGGCTTGTTCAGGAGAAGTGGCTGAATGAGGTGCAGTCTCTGAAGACACATTCTATGCATGCAGTTATTACTACTTGTGCGCACTCACTTTCTTGTGTCACTGATCGACTTGCAATCTGTGTTCTTCTTTTCTTCAGAAAAATGGTGACTACTCGCTCTCCACTCGATGTATAATGGAGATGGAGCCATACATTCGGATGTTGTACCAAGATCAGGTCAAGGTCTGCCATATCTGTCACAATGTGGCCTTGCAGGTAAAGTGATACAACTTCAATTTAAATGACAGTAAATGAGTTGCATCTAATATATTCTTCCTGTTAGCTAAATCAGACCCGTGTCGAATCTAAATTGAAATTGGTGTAACATCTGCTTTTTGCTAGATTCCCAAACTCACTTTCCTCAATCCTCTGCTCTCTTTTCAAACTTGCTAGAAGGTAGACATAAATGTTTAATGTTGCATGTACAATGTTTTGTTGGATATGCTTCTCATGACATTTTCATGAATGGTGTAGTTGCTACTCAAAATATGTTGACTGAATTTAAAATGGGATTGACACCACTGATATAGCCTGGCTTTTATAGGCAACCATTTGGTTTCATGCTTCAGTTTTATAATAATCTGGTATATTTACCTCTCAGTGCCAGATGTGTGAAAATCCTACATGTGGCATCAAAATCCACACCCCTTGTGTCGCCAGATACTTCAAAGGAAGGACTAATCCACGATGCCCTGCCTGTGAGGACTTCTGGCCACATGAGATCCCAGGTAATAATGTTACACTGCTCAAAGAATTGCAACACAAGTGGTACCATGATAGTCTGTCTATACAATTTATCATAGTTTGTATAAAGGTCTGTGTATACATATCACGTTCATCTGTTTTGACTCAGACGAAACAAATATTTACCTACCTTATCTAGTCATTCATGTTTTAATTTTCCACTTCTCTTCCCTATAGAGCCTCCGTCCTCTCAGAGCGAGAGTCAGTCAGCAGCCAAAGAGAACACGGACCCCACCCCCACTCCTCGGTCTACAGCTCAGACCCGGAGGACCAGGAGGTCATAATCTCACGGATACATGTATAGTTGTCAGAACTTTCAGTACAATGTTTTGCCTTCATTAAAATGTACAGTTAACGCAATGTAATATTTTTCATAATTGTATATCAAATGTTAGTTAGATTATTTCTGGAGAACATCTTTCATTGAATCGGCAGTGGTCTCCCATGAGCTCCACTCTTAACTTGATTATCTTAATTTTATTAAGTTCCTTTCTAGGGGAGCAATTTTGGGAAATGTGGCAACTACTTCAATCATTCTTTCAGGCAGTTTAAATGGAAAGCTGTGTTTACATAATTTGTACCTGTGGTTCATTAGGTTGTTAAATTAGAATAGTACTGCCTTATTTGAATAAATTATGGAAATTACCTCTCATCTGAGTATCTGCAGAAATAATTTGGGAACAATTAAATATGCTAATTTGAAAACGCATACCCTATTAAATTAAATGGGTAACAACTCCATATTTTATATGCAGGAGGAAATAAGTATACATCAACTGCGCCTTCATTTAATTTTGTAATGAGTGAAAGCCAGTGCAAATCATGCAGGTAGCTTGGCATTCAATGTGTGCCACAATCACGTTCAAGTGTTGACAGAATGAACACAACTGGCTTTCCTTTATCATGGACATGAGGAAGGGATACTTTTAATTATGTAAAACAGCCGTAGTATTAGGCCATTTTCCTCTACTCAAGTTAATTGAGTTGAGCAGATTTCCCATAATTCTTGAATGTGAATCGCCTTTGTGTAAGTTATGAACTATGTAAATTGAGACTTGTTTCCAACCTTATTCCTTTCTAAATTATTTTGATCTCTATTTGAATTACCATTGACACTTAAGCATTAATTTGTTTATAGAATGAAGTGTTTTTAAAGCCATTTGGTGGGGGAGGCTCAGAGGGCTGAAGCAATGAAAGGAGAGACATGTTAATGTTTGTTTTAAAAAAGAACAACATTCAGACCTAAGTCACAACATACGTGAGCACAGGACTTTTTACAAGACCACTGCAACAATCTGGATCCCTCATCATGAGTCATGACCACCAGAAGCTCACAGAAAAGCTGAGCTCCAAAGAACGCACGTAATGCCAGTGCTTGACTGGGATGAACAAGACCTCCCCAGGCTGCAACACACACTCTAGGTAGGGAGCCTTCACAAACTCTGGGAATTGCACCACGTCTGGACTCTCCACCTGCATTGAAGAAAGCTTTGTGTTTAAATGGAAAACACTTTACTCATTTCTCCCATTCAAAGTATGCAGCACTAACAGTTTAGGGATTATGTAGATCAGTTACATGCTAGATTGTTAAAATTATAGACCTGATGCATGTGGAGATTTAAAATGGAATCCTAACCTGACTTGTGTTGTGTAGGAGCTGCGATTGGTGAGGGTAGAGTTTCTCAGTGTCCTTGGGGGAGTACAGACGAATGTACTTTCTCCCAACCACCTGTTACACAATAGGGAAACCATGCAATCACCAAATTATGATTGGCAAAAATACAGTTTCACACATATCTCTGGACAGAGTCTGATCCTACTCACTGGATGTGTGTTGGACTCACCTGAGCCAGGAAGTTCTGTTGAGGATCCTGATGAAGGGGGGACACTACCTCCTGGCCCAAACCAAGCGTTGATCGTGATGTAATCTTCATCTCCCTCACCAAGACAACAGTAGTCAGGGATACGGATGTCGTCTTTCAGCTCGGGGACCTTGGAGAAGAGTACATTGAACAAAATACTGTTTTTGTAACTGAAAAACTTGTACAAATCACATTTAAAGCATACAATACACAAATGGAGGCAAGGATTATAGAAGCCAATATCCTACATTTCCAAAAATACATTGGACAGTAAAATATACATTTGGAACGTCAATCTGAAATGTATATGTTATATTTTAGTTTTATACTGAACAAAAATATAAAACACAACAATTTCAACGATTTTACTGAGTTACAGTTCATATAAGGAAATCAGTCAATTGAAATAAATTGATTAGGCCCTACTCTATGGATTTCACATGACTGGGCAAGGGCCCACCCACTCAGAATGAGTTTTTCCCCAGAAAAGGGCTTTATTACAGACAGAAATACTCCTCAGTTTCATCAGCTGTCCGAGTGGCTGGTCTCAGACGATCTCGCAGGTGAAGAAGCCGGATGTGGAGGTCCTGGGCTGGTGTGGTTACACGTGATCTGCGGTTGTGAGGCCAGTTGGACATACTGCCAAATTCTCTAAAACAACATTGGAGGTGGCTTCTTTTATTTTTAATCCCAGCCCCTGTCCCCGCAGGAGGCCTTTTAGTAGGCTGCCATTGTAAATAAGAATTTGTTCTTAACTGACTTACATAGTTAAATAAAGGTTTATATATATATATATATATATATATTTAGTACATTAATGAAAATTCAATTAACTGTCAACAGCTCTGGTGGACATTCCTGCTGTCAGCATGCCAATTGCACGCTCCCTCAAAACTTGAGACACCTGTGGCATTGTGTTGTGTGACAAAACGGCACATTTTAGAGTGGCCCTTTATTGTCCCCAGCACAAGGTGCACCTGTGTAATGATCATGTTGTTTAATCAGCTTCTTGATATGCCACAGGTGGATGGATTATCTTGGCAAAGGAAAAATCCTCACTAACAGGGATGTAAACATATTTCTTCACAGAATTTGAGAGAAATAAGATTTCTGTGCATATGAAACATTTCTGGGATCTTTTACTTCAGCTCATGAATCATGGGACCTTTACATGTTGCTTTTATATTTTTGTTCAGTATATATCAACACTGACATCCTCACCCAAATTTGTTATGTAAAAAACAGGACAGGGCAATGACCAACCTGATCAAATAGCTGGTGCTGAGCAAGATATCCCAAACTTGATGTGTCCTAATGTGAGTGAGAGAGAGCGGGATTAGACATTGAGTGTAAGGCGTCTATCCTTGGGGCAATATTTTTCAAGAGGAAGTACTTACTTTCACAACAATATAGCGATCAATGAATTAATTGACCGTAAGGAGTGTCTGACCATTCCTCATCGGTATATCTAGAGCCCACTTCAACAGGTACAGTCCGACAACCAGCAACAGTTTGCAGGTATTCTATGCTTTGCAAAGGAAGAAAACAAAATCAACAGAGGTGTCTAAGGGACTATGAGAAGGTAAGGGCAAGGGACTAGAAAAGGACACAAAATAAAGAAAAAGGTACCTCCAAGGGTGGTTTTTGAAGGCTGGCCAGTGATCTATGATACCCTCTAATATGACTGGCTTTTGGGGATGTAATCTGTCTTGAAGCTCTCCAATGACAGACAGTGTATCCTTGGTACTGCCAGAGCCTGCTTGACCACAGCCACTGACACACAGTCAACCTTAATTTTCTGTTGAGAAGAAAGGAGAATTTAACCATTTTAGCACAAACTAACAACACAGTTTGACTTGAAGAATAAGCAATATGCAAAGGAAGATATCAACATATAAAAGTATCCTAGACCTTAACAAAATTATGAGAAAGAACAAAAGGGATATGACACAGGCTCACAGACTGGTTAGAAAGTAATAGGCCACAACATCATTTACATTTTAGCCATTTAGCAGATGCTGTTATCCAGAGTGACTTACAGTTAGTGAGTGCATACATTATTTTTTTCATACTGGCCCCCCGTGGGAATCGAACCCACAACCCTGGCGTTGCAAACGCCATGCTCTACCAACTGAGCTACATCCCTGCCGGCCATTCCCTCCCCTACCCTGGGCCAATTGTGCGCCGCCCCATGGGTCTCCCGGTCGCGGCCGGCTACGACAGAGCCTGGATTCAAACCAGGATCTCTAGTGGCACAGCTAGCACTGCGATGCAGTGCCTTAGACCACTGCGCCACTCGGGAGACTTGTGGAACATATTTTTACATTTACATTTTAGTCATTTAGATAAACAAATCCACAGACAGTCCATAAAAGCTTCTAGCCTGCCCCATCCTAATTGGCTTTGGCGCGGAGCTGTGCCCTCTTGCCCGTGACGGCCTGGAAACCGGCCTTGATGCTGGCGACGGAGCAGCGGGAGTGGCATGTCTCGCACTATATGTGTACTTATCTAGTGCAAGCATTAAAATTTGTTCCGGTTAAGAATTATTGGTTAAAGGGCTATGTAATTCGTAAAGTGACGCTTATAATGGAAGATTTGAAGTCTGTTGAAGTTTCCACAGTCACCAAAGGAGGTCAGGAGAAGTATATTATTACAGTAGCCACTCCAACAGTAAATAATACACATAGGATATCGGTAGCTTTCCCACTAGAAATAATTAAGGTTAATACATCAACTAAATCAACTACTTTAATGGTAACTTTGGAAAGGGATTAATGATACGATGGCAATAGCAAATGTAGGAAGTATGACACAGACACAAACAACAACTTAGTAAGGATAGGGTTAAAAAAGGAGAGCAGATAGTGGTAGAGACAATATAGATTCATCTGAAATAGTGAAGGATACTATCATGGAGGTACAGGATGAGGTCTTTGATTTTAATGACAGACAAGGAGAGGTATCTGATCAGTACCGCTCGTTAGGGAAGAGAGAAACTAAATGGATGGGTTTGATTCTTCTGTTGTGAAAATTAGAGATAGATGGGCAGGTAGGAATCTTTGGTTCCAGCAGCTCATTCTGTAAGATCAGTGAGGAATCTTGAGGGTCCATGTCTGTTGAGAATTCCAGCACCAGAGACGTGGGGTTCGACCTCTATCAAGTATGTGTCAATCTTATGCTTTGTCATGACTGTTGTATCAGCAACAACAATCAGTAACAGATAAAATAATGTCGTTGTCAAAACATTTGTTTAAGCCTAGGGTTAGGTGTTATTGGGTTAAGTGAATTAACTTGTGTGCATTTGTTAGATGGGAAGGAAACTCAGGTAACAGCAAACCCTGAAGCATTGGAGGTGAAAGCAGTGAGGGCTAAAAGTTGTTTTTGTTCTAATAAAACATATGATGGAAAGGGTATGTTTATGGGAATATCAGATTGTGATGATTATATGATAACTTTGGGTATGCATGACCTTAAGGGTAGTAATGAGAAATATGTTACTTTTTATGTTCCAGTTAGTAAGAAGAGCAGGACTTTGAGGGTTAAAAGATTAGCTTTTGCCTGACAATGTGACTATTGGGAATTTTAGAGATATTTTGAGGGTTTGTGGTGATAAAGCATATATATTCTTACCCTATGGATGGATAGGATGTTGTTACTTGTCAACGTTGAAGCTTCCATATGAGGTTTCTACCATTAAAAGAGGGGTACCACCGGACACAGATAAATCTAGGGTTGGAAATAGGATGAAAAAGACATGGAGACATGTCATAGTCTTCAAGCCTATCATTGAAGGATGAGTCCAAGAGAGAAGGGGGGACTTTTTCCATGGTATGGTGTAACATTTGGGAAGGTCATATTGATAATGTTAGTTATACTTTGAGTCCAGATAGTTCAGATATTATCACTAGGGTTATATATGCATTGAAGAATATAAGGGATGCATTTGGTAGATCTGAAGGAGCTGGATGGTCAGCGAAGTCTTGGTTGCAAGATCAGTTAGGCCCAATAGGAGCAGTGATGGTTCAGATTTTAGTTGCAGCGCTGATAGCGTTGTGTGTGATGTTTTGCTTTTGTACTTTGTTACTGACCTTTGCGAAAGCTATGATTTTAAGATGGGTTGGTGTTGTGATGCCTGGAGACAACACTCAGATGCCGTTGTTGACTGTTCCTGATCTGGATGAAGATGGACAAGGGGGTCTGGATGGAGTACTAATGGATAAATATCCTTTTTGATTATTTGATCATTTTTCAAATTTTTTTTTTCAATATTAGTGTGATTTTTAGTATGATTTTATGAATCAAAGGGGGGAATAGGATAATGTGATTCATACATCATTTATATATCATTTTTATATTCTTAGTTGATATCATTTATATATCGATATCATTTATATATAATTTTTATATTCTTAGTTGATATTGATGTTCAATTTGAAAGTGTTGTTTTGCAAAATATACTGTTTGGTCTTTTCTTTTCTTCCAGAAGCATTTGGGGGAATATGTGGAGATTGAAATACTCAAACAAGGACAATATGAAAGGACAATGACTGGAGGAGATGAAACAAGGAGGGTGTGGAAAGGTTCCCATTCCATCATCAACAATCCATTGGAAGTCGAGACTACGGGGAGATGAAGTGTAGTGGACTACATTCCAGTGTCTGCAATGAAATATAGACATATTTGCATGTGTAATACATAATTTGTGTCATATTCTTAGGTATTAATTTTTGTAGAATGATATTTGATGTTATTGGATACATGTGGGGATATGTGGGGAAATGTCGTGTATTGGGATTATGGAATGTTGTTTATCTTAGTTCAAATGTAGCAGTTGGAGGGTGATGCCACAGGGGGGATAGGTGATTGGACGAAAAAGGGAGCAACCCATTTATTGCCATTGTTTATAAGTAGGACCTAGACAAAGAGCGGGCAGAAGCATTCAGATTAATTTGGGACGGTGCTTCTCCAGACACCGCGGGTCTGTAACTTATGCTGTAAACTTGTGATATTAATAAAAGCTTCTAATCACGGTGCAGCCTAAGCGGACTCTTGATTGACAGCAATAGCCACCAACATCCGACGGGACACGATAGGAGCTTGGGCAGAAATAGTTAACGTTCATCCACCGAGGCAAAAATGACAATATCGGAGTTTAATTCAATAAGTGAAAAGCTGCAAAATGGAGAGTTGAAAATAAAGAGACGGGCGGGCCAGAACAGTAGCCTAATGTTTGGCAAATGTTAAGTGTGATGATTGTGAGGTACTTTACAAATTCAACAGTCAAAAGCAACCTGGTCTCAGAGCATTTCGTATTATTATGTACGTAAATCCGACACACTCCATATAGTATGATATGTTACGTTTCGTATGGTATATATTAATTTGTGAATGTCCATCATCCATTTCGTCTGATATGTTATGAATTAAAATTCGTATTTTATGTTACAAATTTGCAATGTAGCTAAAAAGTAGTAATTAGGTGCAAAGTTTCTAAAATGCTAAAGTGTCATTGATGAGATTCGAACTCACAACCTTTTAGTTGCTAGACGTTCACATTAGGGGAAGGTTTAGCTAACATGCTAAGTAGTAAGTAGTTGCAATTTAGCTAAAGTTGTCCGTGTTGAGATTGGAACTTGAAACCTTTGGGTTGCTAGACGTTCGCATCGATGAGATTTGAACTCGAAACCTTTAGGTTGCTAGACGTTCACGTTGATGAGATTCGAACTTGAAACCTTTGGGTTGCTAGACTTTGGTGTTATATGCCCACCCGTTCATTCTTTCGATGTAGGCTAGGCTATTTAAGTGATAATGCCAGAGAAGCCGGTGTTTGGAGGATATATTGGCACGGGTATTGTTAGACCCGAGACGAAGTTGAGGGGTGGCAAACCGGCCCTCGACTTCATTATCACTTTTACACAACGGGTTACCAACATATTCAAATAATGATTGACATATTTTCATTAAAAAAGTTATTTAGATGAATTTATTCACTGTTTCATCCTTCCACAAGATATAGTCCCGAAACAAATCTAGGGTTGCTACCCAAGACGGCTGGTCGTTCGTTCTATTGGTTCGGTTGCCAGAGACGCGACCCAGTCGTTCAGTCTTTTTGTTCTGTATCTATGGACGCGACCCAGTCGTTCGTACTAAATGTTCCATTGCCATACTGGCTGGCAACGTTCTTATCCCTTGCTTGCTAGCTAGCCAACTACGGCTAATTTACGGTCACGTCAAACAGTGCAGACAGAATAACAACAGTAGCTGCATTTGTTTAAGCTGTTTTCTAGTGACATTTATTTGGATACATCCATAACAATGAGCTAATGAGGCACGATTTCGCCTGGCATAGAAAATGTGCTCTCTCGTTAGGACACTGTTGTTCAGAGGAGCTAACCAACAACATAGCTAACAATTTCACTTCAAACTGAAGCTGGAAAGACTGCAAACTAGCTGCATTTTGTTTGGCCTTTTTTAAATTAACATTTCTTTGTATATGCCCATAGAAATGATGCCAGCTGATTCATGATTTCGACTAACTGAGAAATGCTGCCTGACACTCTCTCTCGTCCTGACTCCCGACCCCTACACGTTCATTACAGTTGGAGATCGAATTTGAATATTGAAACAATGTTGCAAATGTCGTAGAGACAGACAGGAAGGTCTGTTGAAAACTACATGTTAGTCTAAAAGAAATGTGAGATCATGTCTAGATGCTTTTTATAGTGGAGATCAAGTTTATAACTTCCCTGCCTGAGCTGATGAGACAGTGGATTACGCAGTCAGATGGAACAGAGTAAA